GCCTCCCGAGTAGCTGGGACTACAGGTATCTGTCACCACACCAGGCTAATTTTTTGCATTTTTTAGTAGAGACGGGGTTTCACTGTGTTAGCCAGGATGGTCTCGATCTCCTGACCTCATGATCTGCCCGCCTCAGCCTCCCAAAGTTCTGGGATTACAGGCGTGAGCCACCGTGCCCCGCCTTCACTGTCTTTTCTTCCAGCAGGTTGTGTAAGTTCCCACAGCGGATTCCAAGGCAAAGAGAGAAAAGCAGCTTTGGTCCCTGAACAACAGCCTGGAGCAGAGGACTCTCATCCCTTTTGAACCCACAATGGACTGCGACTTGAACAAGAAATAGAGCTTTTCGGTCAGGTGCGGTGGCTCAAGCCTGTAATCCCAGCACTTTAGGAGGCCGAGGCGGGCGGATCACCTGAGGTTGGGAGTTTAAGACCAGCCTGACCAACATGGTGAAATCCTGTCTCAACTTAAAATACAAAGTTAGCTGGGCGTGGTGGTGCATGCCTGTAATCCCAGCTACCCAGGAGGCTAAGGCAGGAGAATCACTTGAACCTGTGAGGTGGAGGTTGCGGTGAGCCGAGATCCCACCATTGCACTCCAGCCTGGGCAACAAGAGAGAAACGCTGTCTCAAAAAAAGAAAAAGACGAGACAAGAAATAGAGCTTTTTCTGCATTCAGCTGCTGATTTGGGGTGGCTTACTACAGCAGCTGACCTCGTGTTAACCTCGTGTGTACAGCGCTGACTTCCGCTTCTACGTCCTGGTGATCCTGGAGGTGAGCTGTGAGCTGCACTGCAGGAACCTTTAGTCACCGACTAGTTCCACACCACACTGAGGGGCCCCCAACCAGGAGTAACTGGTACATCCTAGCATTGTTAGCTATAGAAAAAGTCAAAATGGTATTGGATAAATTATGGGACAAATAAAACGAATAAACAGGTTCTTTAAGTGCTGATATGGAAATATCAGGTATGTTAAGTGAACAATTAAGGCACAGAACAACATACAGAGAAGTTTTTAAGGTCTGACCCAAGGACCCTGAGACTGCCCAGGATCCTTTTACAGGGTCCACTAGGTGCTCCCTTTCCAACTACACAACAGTATAAGGATGTACATCCTTCATATATCCCAACCAAAAAGCGTCACGACAGTTGGAATGCAAAGATGAAAATCCAGCTGTCTTCTACTAAGCATGGCACTAAAGAAAATTGTGATGTGAAAACAATGTCATGCTTCACTGATTCTGTTTTGAAGAATAAGTTTTCTACATTCTTTTAAAATGTCGCTATAGGCCGGGTGCAGTGGCTCACGCCTGTGATCCCAGCGATTTGGGAGGCCGAGGCGGGCAGATCACCTGAGGTCAGGAGTTCAAGACCAGCCTGGCCAACATGATGAAATGCCATCTCTACTAAACAAACAAAAAAAAATTAGCCGGGCATGGGGGCAGGCGCCTGTAATCCCAGCTACTCGGGAGGCTGAGGCAGGAGAATCGCTTGAGCCTGGGAGGCGGAGGTTGCAGTGAGCCCAGATCACGCCATTGCCCTCCAGCCTGGGCAACAAGAGTGAAACTGCCTCAAAAAAAAAGTCACTCTGGGTGGCTCATGCCTATAATCCCAACACTTTGGGAGACCAAGGCGGGCAGATCACCTGAGGTCAGAAGTTTGAGACCAGCCTGGCCAACATGAGGAATCCCTGTCTCTAATAAAAAAAATACAAAATTAGCCAGGCGTGGTGGCGGGTGCTTGTAATCCCAGCTACTCAGGAGGCTGAGGCAGGAGAATTGCTTGAACCTGGGGGGCAGAGGATACAGTAAGCCAAGATCACACCACTGCACTTCACCCTGGGTGACAGATAGAGACTCTTTCTCACACACACACAAAAAAATTAAATAAAAATAAATATCACTATACAATGGGTTTATCATTTTGTAAATCTCAATTTTATTTTCTAATATAATATTGATATAAAACACTTTTTTTTTTTTTTTTTTTGAGACGGAGTCTTGCTCTGTCGCCCAGGCTGGAGTGCAGTGGTGCAATCTCGGCTCATTGCAAGTTCCGCCTCCCGGGTTCCTGCCATTCTCCTGCCTCAGCTTCCCGAGTAGCTGGGACTACAGGCGCCCACCACTATGCCTGGCTACTTTTTTGTATTTTTAGTAGAGATGGGGTTTCACCATGTTAGCCAGGATGGTCTCAATCTCCTGACCTCGTGATCTGCCCGCCTTGGTCTCCCAAAGTGCTGGGATTACAGGTGTGAGCCACCGCGCCCAGCTGATTCACATTTTAAAAGCTCTTTGGGGGCTCAAAAACTTAGTAGTGTAAAATCATACTGAGATTGATTCAAGCACCACTGTTGTATATCGTATACTACTTTCGTGTAAAAAAGAAAGAAAAATCATCTTGTACTAGCTTACAATGCATAAAGAAACCCATTAAGGATAAACCACTATCAGTGGTACTGGGCAGATGAAAGACCTTTTACTGAATGTATCTTTTTGTTGTTAATTTTCAAGCTATGTATAATCTATTCACGAAAGTAAGTTAAAAAACAAACCCTAGGGGGCTGGGCGCGGTGGCTCACGCCTGTAATCCCAGCACTTAGGGAGGCCCAGGCAGGCGGATCACGAGGTCAAGGGACTGAGACCATCCTGGCCAACATGGTGAAACCCTGTCTCTACTAACAATACAAAAATTAGCTGGGCATTACGACGTGCGCCTGTAATCCCAGCTACTCAGGAAACTGAGGCAGGAGAATCGCTTGAACCCTGGAGTCAGAGGTTGCAGTGAGCTGAGATCGTGCCATTGCACTCCAGCCTGGCAACAGAGCGAGACTCCTCTCAAAAGAACAAAACAAAACAAAACAAAACCCCTAGGGGCCAGAGGAAGCAGGAAGGCCAGCCCCAGAGAAGATAGAATAGGCCAGAAAGTCTGTGTGTGGATGACACCACCTCAGCCCAACCCCTCCAGAAACATGGTCTCCAGGCAAAACATCAGAAGATTCTTCTCTAAACAAACAAAAGCAAGAGACAGAGCTTCCAGGGTGTGGCTCCCCCAACTTAACTGTAACCGGCAAACACCATCACCACACAGCCAGGGTCTGCAACATGGGAGGCAGCCAGAAATAACTGTAACCGGCAAACACGATCACCACACAGCCAGGGTCTGCAACATGGGAGGCAGCCAGAATACTGACAGCCACACAGCCAGGGTCTGCAACAGGGGAGGCAGCCAGAAAAGCTAGCCCAGAGGAGAGGGAGGCAATTCAGGAACTAAAATGATTTTTTAAAACAAAAATAACTGGCCAGCGTGGTGGCTCACGCCTGTAATCCCAGCACTGTGGGAGGCTGAGGCGGGCGGATCTCGAGGTCAGGAGATCAAGACCATCCTAGCTAACACGGTAAAACCTCGTTTCTATTAAAAATACAAAAAATTAGCCGGGCATGGTGGCGGCGCCTGTAGTCCCAGCTACTCGGCTGAGGCAGGAGAATGGCGTGAACCCGGGAGGCGGAGCTTGCAGTGAGCTGAGATCCGGCCACTGCACTCCAGCCTGGGCGACAGAGCAGGACTCTGTCTCAAAAAAAAAAACAAAGTTAAAAAATAAAAATAACAAAAAACAAAGTCATGTATCCAAAGATGCTGGAGAAGGTATTGGACACACACTGCCGGGGAGTCTGGGTGGGAAAAATAGTGTCCATTTTCTCACAGCCATCCCGAGTGTGACTACACAGGCCACTCCTGTTTGTGGAAATCATATATTCACATGGCACAGGGAACAAGAAGGCGTTTTAACCTCAGATGTGGAGACCTACTACCTGCATGCTCCTGAGTAAATTATTTAACTTCTGGGCCTTGGTCCCTCCAGTGGAATACCTCCCTTACAGAGTCACTAAGAATTCAGTGAGTTGTCTCTGATGTGACGATATAGTCTAGCATTTGGTAGGTTCTCAATAAATGGCATTCTTATGATCCATGACAGCAGAAAAAGCTGAGAGTATGTTACTACAAAGTAATTTTTTAAAGACACAGAAGTCACAATGAAACATGCTTTAAGGTTAATGCTTTAATGCATTGACATTTTCACTTACAAATGTACAATCTGCATATGTAGGAAAAAATCAGTTCTCTAGACACAACAGAATACTAGAGACGGGAAAGCAATCACAAAAAGATCAACTCTGGGGAGAAAGTGGAACTGCATTCCATGCCTTCATCTACACACACTAGGGAAGGAAAAAGAAATATTACAGAGGATCAAAACTTGTGGAAAATACACTTGGGTCATTTTGTCTCAACTGCAGGACCTTCTTATGATCCAGATGGCTACCTTGAGTCCTGGATAACCTAAAATGGGCAAAGTCTGGCCTTGTTCACAAATGATGACCCGAAACATTAACAGTTCTCCCTCTCCTCTTTAATATCCAAGACCCTGAAGCTGACTCAAGGAATGAAAAGAACAACCGGATCAGCATGTATATAATGTCACTGGCCAACTTCTTCAAGGTATGGACTATTTAAAAGTACACATGGAAGTAAAATGCTTACTCAAACCTGAATAAGAAGTTTCTTCTAACTCAAGTACTTCTTGACTTGTATGAAGTGTAGCACTGTAAACAAAGGACATCGTTGAGAAACCGAGGCTATCAAAACATTGGCATCTATGGGAGTTGTGGCCAAGAAATAAAATACCTGAGTGACCTTATCCCGAGTATGCATTTTACACCAGGATCAAGTCACTAGTGACAGTCAAGTTCCAGGCTCATCTATGGCTGCCTAATGAGGCTGGCCCCACTGGGATGGGGACTGGGGAGGGGACACACATGAGTGCCCAAGCTTCAGTCCACACCTCTCCCCTTCAGCCAGAAGCAGCCAAGGGAGCACAGGAACATCTGCCTCAATAGCATTTTGGCAGCAAAAATCAATACTCTGTGGTTCCTGGAATTCTCACCCAGCAATTCCAAGTTCAAAATTACCAGTGCAACATGAAAAACTGTTAATAGTTTTTAAGTAAAGGGTACATACAGCTTTAATAACGATTATAATCTGAAGAAAGTCATTCTTCTTATACAGGATGGAGAATCCTCAAAGCAACATTTTAAACCATGGACACTAGACTTGTCATATATTACATCTATTCAGAGATGAGAGATAAACACACATCCTTCCATGTGGGAACAGATACTCCCATGTCAACACGTCCCCTAGGATCAGAGAGAAAAGCAGACCCATGGTCACCACTCAGTTTCTCTGGCGTCTGACTTCAGATGGAGTCCCAGGTAGGTTGGCCTAAGTTGGCCTCAGAGGGAGGTGGCTGAGCAGCAAAGCAAGACAGCATGTGTGTAACCAGCCAGGCAAAATAACAAGTCTGTGCTACCTGGAGTGTATTTTCAGGACAACAGGACCATATGGAGTGTGGGGCAGGGACATTCACTGTGCTAAACTGCCTCTGTAAAAGCACACTGTTGAAAGCATGCAGGACAGAAAACTGGAATAATTCAGAGCTTAAAAACAAGAAATAACAGAAATGTGAATATTTCAAATACATACTTCAGAATATTGAAAATAAGAGCATTTGACAGAAAGGCTGGAATGGTTTTTCCAAAGACTCACACATTTTGGGGCTCAAAATTCAATGTTCTAAGCTTCTCTATCACAAAGAGATCAAGAACAAAAGCAAGGCTGGGGATCCTGGCCGGGCTGAGTGGTACCTTGAGCCGGTCCCTGTGTCCTGAGGGTCCCTGGGCCCCATTTCCCACCCATAACCCAAGTCTGCTCAGCTACGGTCTGCCCTGGTGCTCCGTGAACAGCCACAGGCCCCACTTCTGCACAGGATGGGCCTTCAGAGAGATGAGAGCATCTCCCGCACAGCGCAACCCCGTGAAGGCCTGAAATGGGAACGGCCTAACTAAGGCTCTCCTTCCGCTCCCTCGCTGTTCCTTTAACATTACTTCCTCAGCAAGTAGAAAACTAGGCTATCGGGAGGCTTAGGCAGACACACACTCAAACAGCTCTCTTGGAATAAAGCAAATCTGCCTCCACACACTTGTTTGTTATTGTTCCGGCTTCTCCAAGTTTTAAAGGATAAAGCCCTCAAACTTGCAGGCTCAAATCAATTCCCAATGCGGGAAACGTTCTCCAAGTATGGCTACCAAAACCATACCAGAATAAGGTGAGAAGCAGCAGCTAGAGTCAGGCAGACTTCTGAAGCATCATTTTTCAAAGGCGGGCTGTGCCCTGTCATCCTGAGCCGTAGGCCTTGCCGGGGGCCTGTGGAGCCCCAGAGGGCAGGACAGGGGCTCTCACACCATGGCCCCGGGAAGTACCTGGGAGCTTACCAACCCACAACTCCTAAAGTAACAAGCAACCAGTTCTGGTCTGTGGTTTGAAAAAGTTAAATGGAAAGCTATAGCTTTTCTTGCCACAATCACTCATTAGGCATACAACACTATATTACCAGCATAACATGAAAATAAATTAACCCTTAAGCACTACACCTAACTCTAAAAAGAAAATGCCTTTCAAAACAGGTGTGCTCAAATAAGGTGTTCCGAGAGTTGCACAAGGACAGTCTTGGAATGAGCCAGTGCCCCGGAGAGCCAGCGTTTGAACACAACAGCACAGTTCAAACCTTTCTCTGTGGTACTTATGTGGATTAGTTACAATTATGACATCACTACTTTCAAAGGAACCATTAAAACTATTATTAAAAACATTTGTCACACACAGAAATGCCCTGCAAATCATATTATTGCACACAGGGTTATCAGAAGCTATGCACATCAAGACCTTGAGGCCCCTAGAAGACCCAAAATAGAGACCCTAAGGCCATGCCCGTGGCTGCTCCTGCCAGCATGCCCAGTGCCAGGTCACTGTCGTTGTCTCGATACCGCTCTCGAATGATGACTTGGTTAGCAGGCTGCTGTCCATAAAGTCCTAAAACAGAAGGAAAGTAGCAGATCTCTAAGCAGCAGTTTGTGAAGTTTAACATCACATGAAGTGCCAGTTCTCCTTTCACAAAAGGGATCTGCTGTCTCCTGTCACACTGGCACCCCAGCCCTCCTCCACAGCAGGCACATCGTATGGCCCACATCCCTGAAACCGCACTGGGAGGAAACCAAGATCCTCAGCTCACTAAGGGCCAAGGTCCCTAATCTGCAAAGAGCAGAACCCTAAAGATGCTTTCAGACTCCAGCCTTTGATTTCTACTTCAGCCCTCCACACCATGCTTACTGGGTGGCAGACAAATGGGGAACATGGGAGAGACACAGTGCCCAACAAAAGCCCAAAAAGGAAATGCTCACTTAAAGCAAATTAGCTTCTTAGTATGCATGCAAACCAATTTTTAAATTAAACCTTAAATCTGCACATATAACTTGATTTTTTTTCTTTTTTCTTTTTTTCTTTTTTGAGATGGAGTCTTGCTCTGTGCCCAGGCTGGAATGCAGTGGCATGATCTCAGCTAACAGCAACCTCCACTTCCCGGGTTCAAGCTATTCTCCCACCTCAGCTTCCTGAGTAACTGGGACTACAGGTGCCTGCCACCATGCCCGGCTAATTTTTGTATTTTTAGTAAAGACAGGGTTTCACCATGTTGGCCAGGATGGTCTCAAACTCCTGATCTCAAGTGAGCCACCCACCTCGGCCTCCCCAAGTGCTGAGATTACAGGCGTGAGCCACAGCGCCCGGTCTACTCTTCTTCTTTTTTGTTTTGTTTTTTGAGACAGAGTCTCACTCTGTCGCCCAGGCTAGAGCGCAGTGGCTCGATCTCGGGCCACTGCAAGCTCCGCCTCCCAGGTTTACGCCATTCTCCTGCCTCAGCCTCCTGAGTAGCTGGGACTACAGGCGCCCGCCACCACGCCTGGCTAATGTTTTGTATTTTTAGTAGAGACGGGGTTTCACCATGTTAGCCAGGATGGTCTCCATCTCTTGACCTCGTAATCCACCTGCCTCGGCCTCCCAAAGAGCTGAGATTACAGGCGTGAGCCACCGCGCCCGGCCCAGCCTACTCTTTTTTACTACATGTCTTTATGGAGAAAAAATATTTATGTTAAGAGGTGAAAACTTCAAAAAAACAAACCACAGACAAATATTTAATTTGCAAGACTAAAATTTACAACTGGAAATGTACTGTTTGCTCTCTTCCATGCTTCACAGCTACAATGCCTAGTAGCTAAGTAGCTTTCAAACTGCTCAGGTATTAATAGGGTTAGCTTTCCTCCTTGATCCTCTATTCCTTTAATGGTTCAAAGGCTGGCTGGCCAGGCTTGATGGCTGGCACCTGTAATACCAGCACTCTGGGAGGCTGAGGCGGGTGGATCACTTGAGGCCAGAAGTTTTAGACCAGCCTGGCCAACATAGTGAAACCCTGTCTCTTCAAAATTTACCAAAAAAAAAAAAAAAAAAATTAGCCAGGGGTAGTGGCGCATGCCTGTAATCCCACGCTGAGGCATGAGAATTGCTCGAACCTGGGAGGCGGGGGCTGCAGTGAGCTGAGATCCTGCCACTGCAATCCAGGGTCTGGGCAACAGAGTGAGACTCTGTCCCCCCCCAAAAAAAAAGAAAAAAGAAAAGAAAAAAAACAAACTACTCACTAGTGATGTGCACATGTGGATGAAGAGCAGAAGTGAAACCCTCAGTGATAACAAAGGTGAACATTTCCAACCACTTGCAGCACTACATACACTGAAATGCTCTTACTCAACTGAGTGCGCTCTTATCCCTATTCTGCAGCTGGGCAAACCGAGGCACACAATGGTTAAGGACACTAAGGCCACACAAACCCAGGCATTCTGGCTACAGTATGCATTTATACCCACTAATGCCTCAAATCCAACAGAAGATGATGAATGACAAAAATCAAAAGGCACAGAGTAGTACAATGAAACCATTGTAAATCTAAGAGCTGATCTCGTACAGGTAACAGTATTGGAAGCAAGTGATTATTTTTGCAATGTTTAAATATCAAAACTAGGGAATTATGGCATTTACTTTCACAGCCCTGACATTTTAAAACATTCAGTAATGTTAACTCCAACTAGCCAAATGTAACACGATGGAACCTGTGAGCTGACCTAATGAAAAGCTCTCCTGGAAAATCTGCATTCTCCTGCCCTTGCAGGTCATGCTGAGGTCCTCTGGCTGCAGGACCAGGCCACTCTCCTGTGGCTCCTGCTCAGCTCTGCTCCTGCACTGAACTCAGTCCTTGCCAGAATCAGCTGTGGATGCTTCCAGGTCACACTATTTTAATTGCCTAGTTTCACTAATACTACATAAATGGTCAAAATGTGAATGAGAAAAAGGCAGACACAGTTTCTATGGCAACTAAGATACTACAGGAAAACTAAATAAAGGAAGGTACTTTTACAAATTATCATCAAATCAGGGAATGGAGAAAACTATAAAAGATGGAAGGATGGGAGCACTATAGTCTCAAAATCTAGATGTCTGCTCTTGGACTTACCCCTGGAAACTGCAGTGCAATGACGTGTCATGAGGATGGTCTCTACAAGACAGAAATAGAAGACTCCAACCAAAGGAGCCAACTCAAAGCAAACACCCTAACCCCACATGATGAGAGAGCCGAACGAGCACCCACTAGTGGGTGAAATCACAGCACAATGTTTACAGAACGTCTACAGTACTCTGTACTTTCTTAATTGGCTGACCAACCACTGGTCCCAATCACTCAACAGAAAGCCTTAACCAGCTCTGTGCGTGACTAGGAGGGTTCTTGTGGACTAGCTCTAGGCTCTGAGACCCTGGCAGACAGGATGGCATGGAGGTGGCAAAGCACCCATCTGGTTGTCAGCACAAGCTGCTGTGTATCAACCACAAATCCAGCTGACCCTTCCACAGCAAGCAGGTCTGGGGGCTGCCTGGTCACCACCCTGAGGCAGGCTGCATAATGCCCACTGATCCAGCCCCTTACGTGGCAAGCATTCCGAGTACTGCCTGTGAGAGTGCTACTTCTACTCTACTGACGAGAGCTAAGGGCAAGGATGGACTCATTTCCGGAAGTGCCCTAAACAACCACGTCCGCAGTATCTGTGCTCTCTGTACAGTAAGAAAACAGCGGCAACTGCCCTAAGAAGCTGAGAAAGAGGCTGGCTCTCATGTGGCAAGGCTAAGGCTTAAAACTCACCACCCCATGGGATTTCAACAGAAAAATGTGCAAAAGGAAAATGATTCATAAAAGGGGATATAAACTAAAGCAACTCGATGATTCCACTTCAGACCTACTGAAGCTATCAAAACTTGCAGAGCACAACAAGCAATCTTTATGGGATTACAGATAAACCACAGCATCAGTGACTGCTAGTGATATTATCAGTTGGTAAATCATTCTGGGATCAACTTGGTAAAATGCTATCCAGATTTAATGTAATATTAAGAGTTGAAATGATTACAAATCTGGGATGTCCCTTAAACTAATCCAGAGGTAGAGAAAGGAGGCTGAGGTAGAGATAAAAGATTAGACATGATGTGGTAACTACTGAAGCCAGTGATGGACACATGATAGTTCATTATACCATCATCCCTATTTTTTATGTTTGAAAGCATTTATATTTTTAAATCATATCCAAAAGAACCCTCAAAAATGTCTATGCTTTCTGACGTATTAATAGAGATGCTTCTCAACTTACAATGGGGTTACCTCCCAATAAACTCATCGTAAGTTGAAACACCATAGTCAAAATGCATTTAATATGCCTAACCTACTGAACATCATACCTTAACACAGCCCACCTTCAACTGCTCAGAGCACTAACATCAGTCTGTAGCTGGGAAAATCAGCTAACACAAAGTCTACTACAATCAAGTGTCGAAGATCTCATGTAACTGAATGAGTACTACGCTGAGAGTGAAAAACAGAATGGGGGTAGGAGTACCTGAAGTACGGTTTCTACTAAATGTACATTGTTTTTGCACCATCGTAAAGTCAAAAAATCATTAAGTCAAACCATCCTGAGTTAGGGCCTGTCTGCATATACAGATATATTCTAGTTGGGGGAGAAAAAAAAAAGAACTATATTCTAGGCCGGGCAGGGTGGCTCACACCTGTAATACCAGCACTTTGGGAGGCCAAGGCGGATGGATCACCTGAGGTCATGAGTTTGAGACCAGACTGGTCAACATGGTGAAACCATCTCTACTAAAAATACAAAATTAGCCGGGTATGGTGGCACATGCCTGTGATTCCAGCTACTTGAGGGGCTGAGGCAGGAGAATCACTTGAACCCAGGAGGCAGAGGTTGTAGTGAGCCGAGATCATGCCATTGCACTACAGTCTGGGCAACAAGAATGAAACTCCATCTCAAAAAAAAAAAAAGAAATATATTCTAATGCATATTCAATAGGAACAAAAAGGAAAATGACTAAAGATGTTCAAAGAAGTATCTACAATAGCAAAAAAAGAAAAAAAACAAAAGAGAGAGGAAAAAAACAGCCAATACTGGAAGGTTTAGTAACCCATCACCCAATATGATAATAGGCAATTACTAAAAATGCTTATGAGTATTATGTAGCACTTGGGATTCAATACATATAATTTAAAAACAAGACTAGAAACACAAATGCATGATTATAAGGAGAAAATATTTTATATGGAGGAAGTACAGTAGGTCCTCAAATAATAGTTTCATTTAACGTAGTTTCATTATAACATTAATAAGAAGAAAAGAACCGATTCCCCTCGGGGCACCGCCTGTGCAGAGCGGGAAGGTTCTTTCCACGTTTGCGTGGGTTTTCTTGGGATAGGTTAGTTCCTTCCCATCCCAAAGATGTGTCCCTGAGGTGAATCAGCGTGTCTAAACTGTCCCAGTCGGAGTGAGGGGGTGTGGGTGAGTGTGCCCTGCAATGAGATAGGATCCTATCCATGGTGCATTCCTACCTTGAGCCCTGAGCTGCTGGGAGAGGGTCCAGCCAGCCATGGCCATGAACTGAAATAACTGGGTAAATAATTATCTTACTTGTCTTTATTAATCTTACATGTATGTATAGCTCACATTAATTTCAATGGTTAATATTAGAAATGGTGATGTTTTTGTGACCAGAAATAAGCCACAGAAACTTAACTCTTGTTTATACCAATTAATCTGCGGTAAAATCAGTTTCATTACATGTTGTTTCACTGAAACTCAGAGTTTCCAAGAATCTACTGTTGATGTTAAGTGAGGACTTACTGTAATTCAAACAAAAGTATGTGTGCTAGACTCACAAGACAATGGACAAATATTTAATCTGTCATAATTCTTTATTATTTTAATGGTTTTTCAACTTGACATGAAAAAGAGTCAAGCAAAGCAGGATCCTCCCAAGTCCCTGCTAGTTGAGTGACTGTGCCTCAGATTCCCAGAAGAGAGCATTGTGGAATTTCTCTATTTCTACTCCAGACTCCAGAACCCGTTTTAAGTGCTAAATGCATCCAAAGCCAAAGCAACCACCAACAACTACAAGGACACCTTCTGAGATTGTAACCAGAGGCCTCCTTGACTTCTCTGGGCACCACGATCAGTGGCCCACCCTTCTGGTACCAGCTCACCTCCCTCTGCCTCTGCACTGAGACACCATGCTAGTTTTGCTCACAGCCCGGGATTCCTCCTCCTCCTGCAAACCCCCACATTCCTGTCTCTCCTGAGCTCAGCCTCTGGCTCCAGCCCACCCACCTGTGCATCCTGTGCTATGGTGCTGTGCCCACTGTGCCTGGCCAGCCTCACTTCACAGGGGCCATTGACCACAGTTCTGCCCTCCCCACCCTCACTGCAGCCCCAGCAGTGGCCAGCATTGTCCCACACCTCCACCCTGCCAACCACTTGCCCAGGAGACCCAGACATGATACCCCGTACACCAGCTACTCACGCCTGCCATGTGTTTCATATAAGGTGAAGAACAGAAAGAACAGACTCCAAGCCCAGAATAATACAAGCCCTTTCCAGGCCTCTACTCCACTGTGAAACAGAACATCACCTCAGTAGTGATAACTTTCCAAGGACCTCACCAGAAGAACAGCTGAAAGGTCCCTCTCATCCCTAAAATGGGCTCTTACTCTGGCTGCTTCTCAATGTAAGTGAATCCCAATAAGTACGAATTCTCTGAGAACTAATCCAGACACAATTAGCAAAGTTCTAAAAATCAAGCCTACTCTAGCTTTGCAGAGCAGTATGAAACTACCAAAGGCTTTTTTAAGCACAGTAACACAGTGATTTGTGGTCTACAACCAAGAAAATACAGCTCACTTAACCTTAAAACTGAAAAATAAAAATGGTTTACAGGTCTCTCTGGTTACTCAGCAAATGGACAGAATGAGGAATGAAAGGCTGGCTTGAGTTACCTGCATATGGGTACTGGTAGGGCACGCATACGCCTGCCCATTCGCAGCCATAGACAATTGAGTTCCCTGGCGGGTACGCACCACCATAATGGCCATAGCCTGACGCCTGCTGAAAAGAAACTGGCCCATTAGAAATACAATGTGAAACTTCTAGTAATGTTATTAAAATTGTGGTCTCCAGGTTGCAATCAATAAAATTTAACAGTCAATTAAAAGACAAAAAAAAACATGAAACAGTGTGGTTATGCCCCCTGTTTTAATTACTAAAAAAACAAACAAAAGCTACAATTGGGAGCCCACTTTCAGGCTACAGAATGGAAGAAGGGCAGAGAAAACACCAACAAAAGAAGGGAACTGGACTTGCATGAGATTTGGATTTCAATTCAGTTGTGCTGTTAACCTGACCTTCAGTAAGTCACCTACGTAGGCCTTCCTTTGCCCATCTGTAAAATGGATACGGTTGGACCAGGTGATAAGGAGATTCACCGAAACCACTATCCTCCAGGCGAAAGCCAGCCTGGAAGCAGAAGCCCTCTGTGGCCCAAGTTCAGCAATTCCAGGCACCAATATGGAAGATGAGGGTGTCCTGAGGTAACCTGGGCAGGTGACTGATGGTTTTCGGGCTGCACACACCTATGAAAAGACATGGCTAGAAATGGGCAGCAGACCACCTCAACCGGCAGTGAATGGACCACTGATGTGCTGAGAAAATACTGGAATCAAGACCGGCCTTCCTGGCATACTTACAGGTGAGAGGGAGATCAGACATACTTGCACAATCACTGTCATTCTGTGACAAGTGCTCTGATACAGGGGAAACAGAGGTTGTAGCCAGGCAAATGTGTGTGTAGATCTAAACCTGTTATCTTACAAAGCAGGAAGGACAAGACTCCCACTTCTCGAAGATGGAGTAGACATTCTTTCCTGTATTCCTCCTGCTAAGTACAACTACAATCTCTGGACATTATATACAAAGCAAACACAAGAAGACTGAAGAGTGAGAGAAGACAGACGGAACTTTAGCACCTGAGGGAGGACCTGGGTTTCCTTTTTGCTTCACACATCCCACACTGGGTAATGGGGAAGGTGGCAAGCTGGAAGCGCCAATCAGTGCAGACCAAAAAGACCCTGAGAAGAGCTGCTCGCTTTAACAAAGAATCTAAGAAAGAAAGGAGCAACCTAGCAAGACAGATCATTTTTAGACAATAACCTCTCTACTCCAGAGAACCACCACAGAAAAACCTTCAGCCTCACACCAGCAAAGGCCAAGTGTGAAGAGCTTGAATTTCCATGCTCAGCAGGCACCGCCGGGTCCTCAGAACACCGTTGAGTAAGACTGAGTAGGGGGCTGGGAATTTCTTCCCTGCCAGATGGAAACAAAACACCCCCATCCCGCTTGGGGGGTGTCCACGGGAGACCGTGTGAGGGGCCGAGAACCCACACTCCCACCCAGGCAGAAAATACGGTGCCCTCCCTATTCCACCTGAGACCAAGCCGAGAGGGAGTCTTTCAGGACGCTACTCAGTGGCCAACCATGCTATCACGGGGGCTCTGGGATTAGCCAAGTAAGAGCCTTTCCTCTTCTCAGGACAGGGTGATCTTTCAGTGGAGATCTAGTGAGAACCTAAATTCACAACTCCTCCCTCCCACAGCGACAAAGAACCTGGACCAGGGTGTCAACTGAGGCTCAAGGCGAGCCTGGACTTCCACCTCTACCTTGGCAGGCAATAAAAGCAGCCCCGAGAAGGCAGGTTGCTAAAACATGAGAATTAAATAAGATTCAGTCTTACAGTACTTAAATGTACAGCTTTTGATCAAAAGCCATTTCATCACACCAAGAAACCAGGAAGATCTCAACTTAAATGAGAAAAGACAACAAAAAACACAAAACCAAAGATGGCAAAGATGTTCGAATTATCCAGAAAGATTTTTAAAGCAGCTATCATAAAAACTTTTCAACAAGCAATTATGAACATACTCGAAATAAATAAAAAATATAAAGTATCTACCATAAAACAGAAAAATCTCAGTAAAAAGTATATAGATACATACATTCAATTTTTTATATATCAAGATATAAAGAATAACCAAATAAAAATTTCAGAACTAATACAATAACCAATTTAAATAGTTCAATGAATGAGCCCAACAACATAATGGAGATGACAAAAGGAAGGAATCCATAAACATGAATATAAAGGGTAGAAATTACCCAATCAGAACACAACAGAGGAGAAATAGATTGAAGTAAAAAAAAAAAAAAAGAGCATCTCTGGGACACATCAGACTGACAGGGATGTCATCAGAGTGCCAGAGGGAGTAGAAGGAGGCTGAGGTTGGAAAAGCACTCAAGAATAATGGTTTAAGGCCAGGCACGGTGGCTCACGCCTGTAATCCCAGCACTTTGGGAGGCCAAGACGGGCGGATCATGAGGTCAGGAGATCCAGACCATCCTGGCTAACACGGTGAAACTCCGTCTCTACTAAAATACAAAAAAAATTAGCCGGGCGAGGTGGCGGGCGCCTGTAGTCCCAGCTACTTTGGAGGCTGAGGCAGGAGAATGGCCTAAACCCGGGAGGCGGAGCTTGCAGTGAGCCGAGATCACGCCACTGCACTCCAGCCTGGGCCACAGAGCGAGACTCCGTCTCAAAAAAAAAAAGGAATAATGGTTTAAAATTTCCCCAATTTAGCAAAAACCCAAGTCCATATATTCAAGAAGCTGAATGAATACCAAACAGGATAATCCCAAAGAAATCCATACAAATACACATTACAGTCAAACTTTTGAAAACCAAAGTCCACAGAGCAAGCAGAAGGAAGGAAATAAAAGAGTACAATCAATGAAACTGGGAAACAGAAAAAGTGAATAAAACAAAAAGCTATTTCTTTGAAGCTATTTATAAAATTAATAAAACCTTTACCAAACTGTCAAAAAGAGCAAAGACAAATTACCAGTATCAGGAAAGAACGAACTGGAGGATTTTTACTATAGACTCTGCAGACATCACAAGGATAATAAGAAAACAGTATAAAGAACTCTACGCACATAAATCAAACAACTTATAAGAAAAGGAACAATTCCACAAACACTACAAACTATCAAAACCTACTCCATGCAAACTAGAGAATCTGAGTAGACCAGTCACTATTAAGAAAGCTGCATCTGCAGTAGGCCTGGAGGGAAAGGTCATATGAGGATACAGGGAGGAGAAGGCCATGTGCAAGCTCAGGAGGGGCCTCTGGAGAACCAACACTGCCAGCACCTTGATCTTGGGCCTTCAGCCTCCAGAACTGTGACAAATAGACGTGTGTTGGTTAAGCCAAACAAAGGAAAAAGAGGCCGGGCACAGTAGCTCACGCCTGTAATCCCAGCACTTTGGGAGGCTGAGGCAGGTGGATCATGAGGTCAGGAGATCGAGACCATCCTGGCTAACATGGTGAAACCCCGTCTCTACTAAAAAATACAAAAAATTCACCAGGCGTGGTGGCAGCACCTGTAGTCCCAGCTACTTGGGAGGCTGAGGCAGGAGGATGGTGTGAACCCAGGAGGTGGAGCTTACAGTGAGCCAAGATTGCACCACTGCACTCCAGCGTGGGCGACAGAGTGAGACTCCGTTTCAAAAAAAAAAAAAAAAGGAAAAAGAAAACAGATGTTGTCATTTAAAATCTCCCAAAAAAGAAACCTCTAGGACCTGACAGTTTCACTGGAGATTTCTAGCAAATTTTAAAGAAGAATTAACTCCAATTCTACACAATTTCTCCCAGAAAAGAAAAGAGCAGAAAACACTTTCTGATTTATTCTATAAGGTCAGTATTGCCTTGATAAAATAAGACAAAGCACAAAGACAGAAAACTATAGACCAATATCCTTCATAAATATAGATGCAAAAATCCTTAACAAATATTAGCAAATTGAATTCAGCAATAAATAAAAAGAATCATACACCATGACCAAGTAGGTTTTATTTCAGGGAATGCAAGGCTGGTTCAGTATGTGAAAGCCAAACACTATAATCCACCATATTAGCAGGCTAAAAAGAAAAACAAAACCTCACAATCATATTAATTACTGTAGAAAAAGTATTTAACAAAATCACTTTGGGAGGCCGAAGCAGAAGGATCACTTGAGGCCAGGAGTTCAAGACCACCCTGGGCAACAGAGCAAGACCCTGTCTCTACCAAAAAAAAATTTTTTTTTTGCAGCTGTGGTGGTTCAGGAGGCTGAGGCAGGATGATTGCCTCAGCCCAGGGAATTCCAGGCTGAAGTGAGCTAATGATAGTACCATTGCACTCCATCCTGGGCAAGAGAGTGAGTCTTCATCTCTGGGTGGGGAGGGAGGGGAGGGGAGGGGAGGAGAGGGGAGGGGAAGGAAGGGGAGGGGAGGGGAGGAAGGCAGGAAGGAAGGCAGGAAGGCAGGCAGGAAGGCAGGCAACTGATACCCCGTCACGATAAACACTCCTGGAAACTAGAAAAAGGGAATTCTTAAACCTGATGAAGAAAAAATATAAAAAACCTCCAGCTAACAGCATACTTAATGAATGCATTAAATACTAAATAAATGCATACGTAAAAACTAAATTCAACACTAATTAAATACTGAATTAAACAGTACATTAATACTAAATGAATGCATACTTAAAACTGAATACACTGGCCGGACGCGGTGGCTCACGCCTATAATCCCAAAACTTTGGGAGGCAGAGGTGGGTGGATCATGAGGTCAGGAGATCGAGACCACCCTGGCTAACATGGTGAAATCCCATCTCTACTAAAAATGCAAAAAAAAAAAAAAAAAAAAAAAAAATTTAGCTGGGCATGGTGGCAGGTGCCTGTAGTCCCAGCTACTCGGGAGGCTGAGGCAGGAGAATAGCGTGAACCCGGGAGGTGGAGCTTGCAGTAAGCCAAGATCATGCCACTGCACTCCAGCCTGGGCGACAGAGTGAGACTCTGTTTCAAAAAAAAAAAAAGAAAGAAAAACATTGAATACATCCCCCCTAAAATCAGGAACAAGGCAAGGATGTCTGCTCTCACTACTGTTATTCAACATAATATCTGAAGGTCTAACCAAGGCAATAAGGCAAGGTAAGGAAACAGAAGGCATACAAGTTACAAAGAAACACTGTTCCTATTTGTAGATGACATGATTGCCTATGTAGTATACCCCAAAGAATCTACAGAAAAAGGAACTAGAGTAAGTGAGCTTAGAAAGTTTACAAGTGCCAGCCAGGCGCCGTGGCTCACGCCTGTAATCCCAGCACTTTGAGAGGCAGAGGCAGGTGGATCACCTGTGGTCAGGAGTTCGAGAGCAGCCTGGCCATCATGGTGAAACCCCACCTCTACTAAAAAGACAAAAAATTAGCCGGGCATGGTGGCAAGCGCCTGTAATCCCAGCTACTTGGGTGGCTGAGGCAGGAGAACCGCTTATACCCGGGAGGCAGAGGTTGCAGTGAGCCAAGATAGTGCCACTGCACTCCAGCCTGGGCAAGAAGAGCAAAACTCCATCTCAAAGAAAAAAAAAAAGCAGCACGTTCCACACAACAGACTTACATACAAATCAGCTCAGTCAGCACCCCAAGCACCCCAACAAGAAGACATCCCAAAGTATTTGACATGATTTTTGTAAGGATTATTTTCCCCAAAATATAGCATTTTTTTCTGACTATAAGGAGAATTCGAGTAATTCATTCCATATAAACTACAGATCATCAAAATCTCATTACCCAAAGCAACTATCATTAACATGATGCATTTTTAGATCTTAAAAACTTGTTACACATTAATACAGCACATTACAATGTGCTGAACTATATAAAATAGTTGCTTTATTTCATGAAAACAAAAGTTGGTAAGAAATCATCTGTTTTAAGAAGAAAAGGTTTAGAGTACATTTCTAATTTCATTCAAAAAACAAAGCAGGACAGTAGCAGAGACCCCAAGCTTCCCTCACCTGAAGGCTCAGGGTTCTCCCTACCTCAGGGGCCGGTGCAGCATAGGCCGTGTATGGTGGAGGCGAGGAAACCACGGATGTCTCATCAGTCATGACTGCAGAGCCCACATACGCCTGCGGGAGAGAGGAGAGGGTGAGGGCAGGACAGCTTCCCAGCACCTGTGTGCTCAATGATGCTGTGCATTGTCCCTTTTATTTAGCAAATTAAAAATTTTAAAAGACAAACAGATATATAGCTCTCTGCAAAATAGGAAAAACTTTCCCGGTCCAGTGGGTGCCCCCAGCCCTACTCTGGTATCCTCTAAATGCAGGAGCGAAGTGCTCCTCACTCAACCCCTAAGAGGATTACAGCTCTCACAGCCAGGAAGGCACTCAGAGGCCCCACTGTTACCCAATGCCTTTTAAAAGATGTTACTTCAGGCCAGGTGCAATGGCTCATATCTGTAATCCCAACACTTTGGGAGGCTGGGCGAGAGGATCGCTAGAGCCCAGGAGTTCCAAGGCCAGCCTAGGCAACAGAGGGAGAGCCCATCTCTACAAACAACAAGAAATTAACTGGGCATGGTGCTTATGGCCCGAGCTACTCAAGGGGCTAAATCTCAAGGATCACTTGAGCCCGGGAGCTCCAGACTGCAGTGAGCCAAGATCAAGTCACTGCACTCCAGCCCAGGCAACAGGGCGAGACTCTGTCTCCAAAGAAATAAAGATGTTACAGCACTCTCAACAGTCCTTTATTCACAAATAAAAACCCTACAATCTAAAATGTATCAGAGTCGTATACACAGTCTGTTTTTTACCTTAAAAAACAAAATTCTTCATTAAATTACTCCCCAATGTAATTTAAAGAAAAACATGTTAGCGCTTCAAAAAAAAAAAAAAAAAAAAAGGGGGGCCAGGTGCAATGGCTCACGCCTGTAATCCCAGGATTTTGGGAGGCCGAGGTGGGCAGATCACGAGGTCAGGAGTTCAAGACCAGCCTGACCAACATGGTGAAACCCCATCTCTACTCAAAATACAAAAACTAGCTGGGCGTGGTGGCATGCTCCTGTAATCCCAGCTATTTAGGAGGCTGAGAAAGGAGAACTGCTTGAACCTGGGAAGCAAAGGTTGCAGTGAGCCAAGATCGCTCCACTGCACTCCAGCCTGGGCCACAGAGCAAGACTGTCTCAAAAAAAAAAAAAAAAAAATCCCACAAAGAATCATTTGTGGAGCTTGCCCTTAACTGTATGGATCATTAATACTAATTTTACCCCAAAAAAAGGATTTTCATGCAGAAAAGGTAACAGCAGCTGTAGAGTAAGCTTAGAATGAAGTTGTGTTGTGCTAACAAAAGAAGAGAACACTGACGCTTGGATATTAAGCCTTTTACTTTCTTCTCCAACATGCACACATTCTTCTGTAAGCTTTATCCATCTTTTCTTTTCTTACAAAGATAAAGGAAGGGAAAATCCCATCTAAAGAATGAAAACTCTGACCAGAGTCATACTCCCTTGATCCCTGACAGATAAAGATGGCATTACAAGGCTCTTACAAATGAGGTTCACTGTCTCAGTGACCTCCTAAGGCCAGAAACAGGACGAGAGACAAGTACAAGTCACAAAAATGTTTGTTTCACAAGGCTGAGCTCCCATGCATGAAAAGGATCCTGAAGTTCTTTCTCTTAGCCTTTACTGCAAACCACAGCAGAATTCAAAGTGTTGCAGAACTTTGAGAAATACAAACGTTTCTAGAAAGCAACACTGGAACAAGCATGCTTGTGTGAGGAGGGTGCTTCCTGCCAAAAACGTTTGGCAAACCCAGCTTGCTCACTGTTGGTGAAAGGTGCCCACCCAGTGCTACCTGCCCATTCACGGCTGGATGGCCAAGAAGCCCATTTTCCCCATTCTCCAATTGTTACAATAAGACCATGTGAAAACATTACTGGTGGCCAGGTGTGGTGGCTCACGCCTGTAATCCCAACACTTTGGGAGGTGAAAGTGGGAGGATCACTTGAGCCCAGGAGTTTGATACCAGCATGGGTAACATAGTGAGACCTCATCTCCACAAAAACATTTTTCTAAATAAGCTAGGCACGGCAGCATGGGCCTATAGTCCCAGCTACTGGGAAGGGGAGGCTGAGGTGGGAGGACCATTTCAGCCCAGAGGTAGAAGCTGCAGTGAGCTGAGATAGCACCACTGCACTCAAGCCTGGGTGAAAGAGTGATACCTTGTCAAAAAAAAAAAAAAAAAAAAAAAAATTATAGGTGATTGCCATTAGCAACTTACTGTGTTTGTCCTAGAATCCTGGAGTGTAAATTTCCAGGCCCTGGAGAAAAGAAAAAGGGTACTTTATTTAAGGCAATCCAGTATTTCAATGATTCTCAAACCAGAGTTGACATCAGAATTCCTGAAAAGATCTGTTTAAAGAACAGGTCTTCAGGCCTTGCCCCAAACCACTTGAGACATGCCCTAGGAATATATATTTTTAAAAATTACATCCATAATAGATACATAATATTTGAAACATAATCTATACTATATTTTTTACTTTACTTTTTAATAAATGTGAAATGCACTGCCACTTGCTTTGTCAGTTCATGGCATACACACAGATCTTCTTCCTTTTTAACAGCTATGTAATATTCCATGATACAAGTAAATTTAGATTATTAGCAATTTTCAACATTAAAAAGAATGCTGGAGACCGGATGTAGTGCCTCATGCCTGTAATCCCAGCACTTTGGGAGGCCAAGGCAGGGAGATCACTTGAGCCCAGGAGTTCAAAACCAGCCTGGGCAACATAGTGAAATCCTAGCTCTACAAAAAATACAAACATTAGCTGGGCATGGTGGCACATGCTTGTAGTCCCAGCTACTTGGGAGGCTGAGGTGGGAGAATGGCTTGTGCCTGGGAGGTCGAGGCTATAGTGAGCCAAGATCACACCAGTGGACTCCAGCCCGGATGACAGAGAGAGGCTCTATCTCAAGAAAAAAAAAAAAGAAGAAAAGAATGCTATTAACATCCCTATTACCCTTGCACTCTTATGTAGACATTTCCATAGGGCAAATTCCAAAGACTGAAAATGCCACATCAAAGGATATAAACATAATTTATTTCAGCAGGTATTGCCAAATGGCCCTGTGAAACTATTCTAAGAATCTCTATACCTACCTACTTTCCACTATATTGTCAAAGAAACTAGATACCTGAATCTTAAGTATCACAAGAGCTTTCTTAATTGATACACAAAAAGTGGTCTCTCACCTGGGCACGGTGGCTCACACCCGTAATCCCAGCACTTTGGGAGGTTGAGGTAGGTGATCACCTGAGGTCAGGAGTTCGAGACCAGCCTGGTCAACATGGTAAAACCAAGCTTCTACTAAAACCACAAAATTAGCCAGGCGTGGTGGCACGTGCCTGTAATTCCAGCTACTCCAGAGACTGAGGCAGGAGAATTGCTTGAACACAGGAGGCAGAGGTTGCAATGAGTGGAGATTACGCCATTGCACTCTAGTCTGGGCGACAAGAGCAAAACTCCATCTCAAAAAACAAAAAAAGCGTTCTCTTGAGCACTCCCTCACTCCTTTACCTCTTACTTTTTTTACTGACCCTATCCCTCTTATCTTCATCAATTCCTTTTATGTTTTATTCTCATTTTACTATCTCCCTGAGTTGAAAGATGCATTCATTTATTTTCAAGTGTTCTTGCTTTTTTTTTTTTTTTTTTTTTTTTTTTTGAGATGAAGTCTCGCTCTGTCACCCAGGCTGGAGTGCAGTGGCGCGATCTTGGCTCACCGCAATCTCTGCCTCCCAGGTTCAAGCAATTCTCCTGCCTCAGCCTCCCGAGCAGCTGGGATTACAGGTGCCCACCACCACGCCCAGCTAATTTTTGTATTTTTAGTAGAGACGAGGTTTCACCATGTTGGCCAGGCTGGTCTCGAGCTCCTGACCTCAGGTGATCCATCCATCTTGGCTTCCCAAAGTGCTGGGATTACAAGCGTGAGCCACCGTGCCCAGCCAAGTGTTCTGGCTTTCTATGGAATGCAGTTAAGTTGCAAAATTCCCCAACTGATTTTGTATGCAGCATTCCATTGTCATTCACTTTGCTAAAGGGTATCATACTGGATTATTCATGTATCTTATATAGATTTTGTTGTCATTTCAGGTGGAAGAGTCTAGTGTGGCCTTTGGTCTGCAAATTCTGTTCGATTATTTCAGAACATTTCTCTTGCCCTGAATTTCTAATTACCTCTTTTGGGTTCTGTACTTTATGAACATCAATAATCTTTCTGAACTTTTTTTAGTCCAACGTATCTCTGATCTTTTCATCTTTTTCCCCTCACTGAGAGTATCTCCAGTCTTTCCCTCCATGCCAGTGATTCACTTTTCGTTTGGGGTTGTATGCAAGGGAAGACCACTTTCCTCAGATGATAATGTGAATGGCACCCCCTTGACAGTGACAGACACAGAAGAGGAGAAAAGAAACGTAAATCTCTGCCCTCACACAGCATATATTCTAATGAAAGTAGATGATGAACAAGATAAACAGCTGGTAGCTGGTGAGTGTGTATGGGGACAGGGAGATGTAATTTTAAATATGGTGGCCAGGAAAGCATTCCTGAAGACTCTGCTTCTGTTCCTTGGGTTTTATTTCCCTCCACTCTAGGAGCTTTTCCTGAGGCTTACATTTTCCTTTTCTTATTTTTCCTTCATGGTATATCTGCATAGTTGCCAAGCCACTTCCTTACATCCTGCTCATGTTTAACATGGGAGGTGATATCTAAAACTTGTTTGCTCTCATAAAGTATGAGTTATTTCTCCTTGACACTCTTCCTACCTAATCTGGTATCAACTGGTAGTTCCACCCTGTTCCACCTCAGTCCAGCCCAGCAACAGTTTGATGGCTAGGTGTCACCCTCACAATCAACATTCTGTAATATGAGGGCAGAGGGCTAGAAGAGAAGGAAATCTCTTCTGAGAATGAGTAAGTCTTTTCTGAAAAATCTGGGCCCTACACTCTCTTCTGAGCATATTCCTTTGAATGTCCCATGCTAGTGCTCACTTCACCAGCCTGAAAATTACCCAACTCCTGTGAGCTTCAGTGCCTTTCAGTGCCTTGCAATGATGAGTCCTGGGAGAATCGTCCAGCCTCAGCTGAGGCCCCAAGGACACCACATTCTCAAGAACTTTTTTCCTTAGCTTCTCCAAAAAGTAACTTACACTTAATCAGCATCACTCCAGACTACAGGGTAATACCGAAATTTGCAAGATTTAATTAACTTATCTAGTTACTGCTTCCGGGATTCGGGTAGGATTAAAAAACATATCAGTAGAATCATCTATTTCTTTCTTTAGCTGTTTGTAGTTTGTGCTTGAGATCAAACTTCTTTATTTGGTCACCATTGAAATGTTTTCCCCTGAGGGAAGATGATCTAATCCACTTCACCGTCTTTCTCAAAGGTCTCTATTACGGGTTGAATTGCGTCCTCATGAAAAAGATATGCGTAAATCCTAATCCCCAGTACCCTGGAATGGGACCTTATTTGGAAACAGGATATTTGCATATGGAATCAAATTAAGATAAGGTCACAGTGAATGAAGGTGGGTCCTTAATCCATTATGATTGGTGTCCTTTATAAGAAAAGAGAATTCTGGACACAGACACAGCAGAAGGCAGCCATGTGACAACAGAGGCAGAGACCGGAGTGATGTGGCTGCCAGCCAAGGAACACCAAGGACTACCAGAAACCACTAGAAGCCAGGAAGAGGCAAGAAAGGATCCTACCTAGCATCTCAGAGGGAACAAGGACCTGCTGACACACTGATTCCAGACTTGCAGCCTCCGGAACTGTGAGGCAATGAATTTCTGCCATTTCCGTCACTCAGTGTTCAGCAATTTGTGACAGGAGCCCTAGGAACTGAGTTTCCTCACTCTTTACTTTCTTGCTTTTCTGGTCATTTTATTTCAACTATGCCTATTACCCACTGTGAATCTAATAATGAAAGAGAGCATGATGACCCCATCAAAAAGTGGGCAAAGGCTATGAACAGACACTTCTCAAAGGAAGACATTTATGCAGCCAACAGACACATGAAAAAATGTTCATCATCACTGGTCATCAGAGAACCACAAATCAAATCCACAATGAGATACCATCTCACACCAGTTAGAATGACGATCATTAAAAAGTCAGGAAACAACAGGTGCTGGAGAGGATGTGGAGAAACAGGAACACTTTTACACTGTTGGTGGGACTGTAAACTAGTTCAACCATTGTGCAAGACAATATGGCGATTCCTCAAGGATCTAGAACTAGAAATACCATTTGGCCCAGCCATCCCATTACCGGGCACATACCCAGAGGATTATAAATCATGCTGCTAGAAAGATACATACACACGTATGTTTACTGGGGCACTATTCACAATAGCAAAGACTTGGAACCAACCCAAATGTCCATCAGCGATAGACTGGATTAAGAAAACGTGGCACATATACACCATGGAATACTATGCAGCCATAAAAAAAGGATTAGTTCATGTCCTTTGTAGGGACATGAATGAAGCTGGAAACCATCATTCTGAGCAAACTATCGCAAGGACAGAAAACCAAACACCACATGTTCTCACTCATAGGTGGGAATTGAACAGTGAGAACAGGTGGGAATTGACAGAGCGGGGAACATCACACACTGGGGCCTGTCTTGGGGTGGGGGGAGGGGGGAGGGATTGCATTAGGACATACACCTAATGTAAATGACTAGTTAATGGGTGCAGCACACCAACATGGCACATGTATACATATGTAACAAACCTGCACGTTGTGCACATGTACCCTAAAACTTAAAGTATAATAATAAAAAAAAGAAAAAAGAATTAAAAAAAAGAGAGAGCATGACGAGACTGCTATTCCTTTCTGCCATTTTCTCCACAATTCGATAGGCCCAGGCAGTCTCAGAGAGGCAGAAACCAGAATTGGAAAAGCGACTCTTGCATTTCTCTCACACATCCACTGAGTCCCTTATTCTGACGCCTGAAAGAGAACTCCATGCCCATTCTTTTCATTTTTTGGTAATCAGAAGTTAAAATAGAAAATACTTTTTAAATTAAACACGTAAGAAAGCAAAACTTACAAGCAATCGTCTGTGCTTTCTGCACAAAGACTAATTGTTTTCCCATCTCGACAAACAATCTGGAGCATGCAGTCTTTTGACTTTCCATCTGGAGGCTGAATATCTATGAAAAATAAGCAGAAGAAAAAGAACTTTTTTCAGGATTTCTTCTTACATCTTCTAAGAACTACCAGCTCAGAGAAGCAAAGGACTAGACAAAAAATCAAGCGCTACATCTATGAAAGAACCCCCTGCCTTTCCAATAATGCAGAAAGAAAGAACATAGCTAGGCTAACTGACAGGACCAGCCACCAAGATGACGTCTACAAAATGTATTCGGCTCACTGCAACCTCTGACTCCCGGGTTCAAGCAATTCTCTGCCTCGGCCTCCCAAGTAGCTAAGATTACAGGCACCTGACACCACACCTGACTAATTTTTTTGTATTTTTAGTAGAGATGGGATTTCACCATCTTGGCCAGGCTGCTCTTGAACTCCTGACCTCGTGATCCACCCACCTCAGCCTCCCAGTGCTGGGATTACAGGCATGAGCCACTACACCCGGCCAACATCCCAGATTTTAAGCAATTGATTGCAGTCACCATCAAACAGAAGCCAGTTTCTGAGTACAAAATCAACAGTCTAGGGTGGCCTGTGCTTCTTGAGGTTCCCAGCGCTCTGGTTCCCTCTGCACGAGAAGAAGAGACGTGGACTGTGAGTTTAACTCAAGTGAGAAAATTGATTTGCCCCGACCATGTGGTTCACAATCTAAGTGCCTGGGGCGCCACTGTGGCTGCCCCTCTGAGATGGAGCCCTTCTTCAATCTGTTAATGAAAGCAGAACGGGGAAGGAAGAGGACCCAGTTCCCACCGAGACAGAGGAAGAGCAGAAGACAGAAGTTGGCCAAGACAGGCCAGCTCACCCCGACATTCCTGCCCCGTGCGGATGTTGATACAGTCCACTGGCATGTGGACCTTATCCTCGATATTCTGCCGAGTCTGGTCATCATAATAGATTAGGTGACCATCCGACCACAGATCAAACCAGTTCTTCTTCCAGCGCTTCAAAATAGTACCTGGAAAAAAATAGTAAGGTTGGGTTTTTTTAAGAGATAGAGTCTTATTATTTCACCCAAGTTGGAATGCAGTGGCTATTCACAAACATGATCACAGCTCACTGCAGCCTTGAACCCCTGGGCTCAAGCAATCCTCCCACTTTAGCCTCCCATTTAGCTGCAACTGCAGGCACATGCCGCCATGCCCAGCTGAAAGGTTGGCTTTGAGCCAAAAGAGCAAGGACACAGTCACAGCAGAAACAAAAAGAACTCTTCCCCTGGCCCCTTAATGACACCTGTATAGAATTACCCAAAGCAGTCCCTCAGAATGAAAGTGAAAGCCGAGCCCAGGGCCCGCCCACTGGTGCGTTAGCAGGCTGCATGCAGCACACACTGGCAACAGAGAATGCTGCCAACCAACTTAGAAGTCCCAACACTTTCAAATTAAGGTGTTTTTTTTTTCTTTAAAAAAAAAAATAAAGCTTACTTTTCAGCAAATGAAACATATCTAACATTTAATTCCTCATACAGTACTAAACTTTAAACCTTTCAAACTTTTCAAGTTTCTAAATTTCCAAATATTGTCTACATTTGCTAGATCAGAAAATGCTGGACTGTAAAGTCTCTATATGCAAATAAAAATAATACCTACCTCTTTTGAAGAAACACATTTCGGCCAGGCACGGTGGCTCACGCATGTAATCCCAGCACTTTGGGAGACCAAGGCGGATGGATCACTTGAGGCCAGGAGTTCGAGACTAGCCTGGACAAGACAGTGAAATCCCATCTCTACTAAAATCACAAAAAATTAGCTGGGCATGGTGGTGGGCGCCTGTAATCCCAGCTACTAGGGAGGCTGAGGCAGGAGAATCGCTTGAACCCAGGAGGTGGAGGTTGCAGTGAACCAAGATCACACCACTGCCCTCCAACGTGGGGGACAGAGCAAGACTCTGTCTCAAAAAAAAAAAACCACATTTTTTTCTTGTCCTTAAGAGCCTTCACAGATACTCTCTCCTACCATTTCCCACAGGAAGCTTACAGTGTGGAAGGCACCCCTGATGCATACACTGGATAAATGAGCACAGCAGGATATAGACCAGGCCCTGCCTGGCCTCTCATGCTGTGCACATCCTACTACCTCACATATTTCTGTCAGCTTGAGCAAATTCAACCTTTCATTTGTGATCTTGGACCAGGTATTTAACTTTATAAAACAGTAATTTCCTTGACTGCATGAAGGGAAAACCCCTGCAGTGGACTTAAAGGCCAGTTCTAGCTCCGGTCATCTCTGTACCTTCCTCACTGCCCACTACACCTTCTGTTCCTGTACACTTCACCCCATTCTTGGCCAACACACACAATCCCATTTGATGTACTTCCCTTTATGTTGTCGTGCCTGCAACTGGTGTCAACCAGATACGTAGCATCCAGCTTTCCTGCCAGTATCAGGCACTCTCCTCACCAGGAGGGGTGTCCACTGCACTTGCCCAACTGACCACTAAGTGATACCCAAGCATCCATTTGATTGGCTGCCTGAGCTGTGCAGAAACTGCCAAACACGCTGGGCGCAATGGCTCATATCTGTAATCCCAGCACTTTGGGAGGTTGAGGTGGAAGGATCGCTTGAGCCCAGGAGTTTGAGACCAGCCTGGGCTACATAGCAAGACCCCATCTCTACAAAGAGCAAAATAGGCAGACATGCTAACACAGGCCAGCAGTCCCAGCTACTTGAGATTCTGAGGCAGGAGGACCAGTTGAACCTGGGAGATCAAGGCTGCAGTGAGCAGTTATCACGCCACTGCACTCCAGCCTAGGCGACGGGGCAAGACCCTGTCTTAAAAATAAAAAGAAAAGCCAGACACGGTGGCTCATGCCTGTAATCCCAGCACTTTGGGAGGTCAAGGCGGGCAGACCATGAGGTCAGGAGTTCAAGACCAGCCTGGTCAACATGGTGAAACGCCGTCTCTACTAAAGATACAAAAATTAGCCAGGCCTGGTGGTGCACACCTATAATCCCAGCTACTCAGGAGGCTGAGGCAGGAAAATCACTTGAAACTGGAGGCAGAAGTTGCAGTGAGCTGAGATTATGCCATTGCACTCCAGCCTGAGCGACAAAGACTCTGCCTCAAACAAACAAACAAACAAACAAAAATCCCTACTAAATAGAGCCACAGAAACACAGAGACAGGTGGAACCACTGGGTCAGGGAGTTCTGCCCAAGTATCTCACCTGCCATCAAAGCCCTGGCTGCAGACTCCCAAATCAGGCTATCCTCCAGAGGCCAGGACCGGGGCCCAACACTGTATGTAGCAATGGCAGGAAAAGAAGTCCTAAGGATGGCTTTGCCTACATGTAACCACATCACATGTGGGTCTCTGCTACTCTACAACCCCATGAATGTAATACATCTCACCTCGTTTTACTGGCATTGATACTTCTACTTTCAGGAAAGAAGGAAAATTAACTCACACGTATGGGGATGGGGTTATGTATAGATAAGTCTTCTGAATACACATTTCTGAAACACCCATGGACCAGAATACTGGAAAAGTCTATGTGACTTATCTAAATTACATCCATTTTATGTACGTCCCCATGCTAGGCACTGATGGGGAGCACAACATTGTCCAAAGGGTCATTGATCAGTATGTTGACAAAGCACTTACATTGAGTTGTGGCAGAGAAGGGAAAGCTTACCCTCAAACAAGGGTGTGGCAGAGCCTGGCGAGAAACACCAAAGGACATCTGAAGGGCCAGCAAAGGAGGGCACACCCTCAAGGTCTGAGCAAGGGTCCCCATGTCCCCTGACTATGGGGAGGCTGGGACCACAAAACCCAAGACTAGGAAACTTGGGGCTCCAGGACTTCCTTCGTGAAGCTGACACTACAACACCTCTGTCTATTCTAAGACTACAGGACCATCACAGACAAAGGGGCACACGGTTCAGCTCCAGGTTGGGACCATGGAACTCGTCACAGACACACAGGCTGAAGGCCAGTCTCCGGGTGCATATAGAGTCAGTGTTGAAATCACACAGTTCTGACTTTGAATGTAGGTTTGTCACCCATAGTTTACACTTAGACAAATTACCTAACCTCACTGAACCTCAATTTCTTCAACTGGAAATAATACCACTTACCTATCATACAGCTGTTGTGAGAATTAAGAATATATACATAAAATCTTTTCAACAGGAACACAAATGATTCATAAACAATAGTTTTTATAAACCATCTCAGGTATGCCATCAATTCTCACGGATAGACTTGACTTTAGCTGATTTCTGAAAGTATCCCTCATAGATAAACTCACGTCTCTGAACAATCAATGGTATGTGATACAGCTCAGTTTTTGACTAGAATCATAAATGACATAGTAGTCACTTTTCCCTTAGCTTCACTCTTTCTAGTATAACAGAATATCCTGCTTGCTCTTTTTTTTTAATAAATAAGACTGGTTCTTCCCACTTTAAAACACAGTATGAATCCCACCTGAAGTGACAGCCTCACAGATAAGCAGACAGTGTATGAAAGATAGGTTTGTGGAGATAAGCCTAGGAAAGTGGACCTCAATCCCATAAGAAAAGAACTGAGTCTCTTCTGTAGTCCTTTTGGAGACACAAAAGTTTTGGTTTTAGATAAACTCATTGCCTCAGATCAACTCTTCAGCCACATAATTAGCAAGACACCAATATCTGAGAATCTGAGTCACTGCTCAATCCCCAGAGGAGAGAGGCAGAGAGACCAGCACCTCTGTGCCAGATCTCGGCTGGGCTGTTAGATCCAGGCAGTTCCAGATTCATCATTAACAATAAAGCACGTGGCTGGGCACGGTGGCTCACGCTTATAATCCCAACACTTTGGGAGCCGAGGCAGGCAGATCACCTGAGGTCGGGAGTTTGAGACCAGCCTGGCCATCACGGAGAAACCCCTTCTCTACTAAAAATACAAAATTAGCCGGGTATGGTGGCACGTGCCTGTGATCCTAGCTACTCGGGAGGCTGAGGCAGGAGAATCGCTTGAACCCAAGAGGCGGAGGCTATGGTGAGCCGAGATCGCACCATTGCACTCCACAACGAGAGTGAAACTCTGTCTCAAAAAAATAAATAAAGTAAAATAAAATAAATAAAGCACGTTAGTGAGGAGAGCGAAAGCAGCAGGGACTGCCATTGTTTCCTGGTTCCTATCAACTCAGCAACCAAGGAGGAGCTTCGTGGTGTGCAAGACAGTTCACAGAGCTCTAGGAATGTCCAAGGGAAAACTCAAGGCCACGGCACTCATAAAACTTGGTATTTGTTTTTAAACATGATCAGCTTTAAGCAAACAGAAATAGAGATTGCCTTCGGCAATGCCGATCGCAGGCCGCACATCCTGTACTCACTCTGTCGCAGCAACCAGCCACTCTTCACAAATGCCATCTCTTCACCTACAGAACAAGAACAGGCAGGTTCAAAATCATACCCAGAAAGAGAATAACCTGTCTGGCCGAGTCTCTATCCTTACCCCCTTCAGCATCAGCTGAGGAAGAGCCAAGGCCATTTTAGCTCAGTGCCCCCCTGGCATTTAACAAACACCTCCGCAGTGGGGTTCATGTGCCCTGCACTCTGTACCCCCTCCCCTCCTCCCACACTAGCCTTCAGCCTCAGCACCCAGCCCACCTGCGTCTAACACCACACAACAAACATAAAGCAGCCCCAAGGACACAGCATTTAGCTCTGTCAAGGACATGGAGGATTCTCGTGGCTTGCTGGAGCCCTCAGGTGCCTACATTTGGAGTTCCCAGTGGGGTCCACATGGCCCAGGCAGGGGTGCTACACTGGTGTCAGCAGTGAGTGACATGGAGTGGCCAGGTCAGGGCAAAAAAAAAAACAAAAGTTATCAAGAAAAAGGTTCATAAAGTCAACTCCATAAAAATTCAAATCTTCTGTATGGAAAAAAAGCTAAATGTGACTTTAAAACCGATAAATTAGAAGAAACAGTCACAGCTGGGCACGGTGGCTCAGGCTAAGGAGGGTGGATTGCCTGAGGTTAGGAGTTCGAGACTAGCCTGGCCAACATGGTGAAACCTCGTCTCTACTAAAAATACAAAAATGGCCGGGCGCGGTGGCTCATGCCTGTAATCCTAGCACTTTGGGAGGCTGAGGCGGGCAGATCAGGAGGTCAGGAGTTTGAGACCAGCCTGACCAACATGCTGAAACCCCGTCTCTACTAAATATACAAAAATTAGCTGGGTGTGGTGGTGTGTGCCTGTAATCCCAGCTACTCAGGAGGCTGAGGCAGGAAAATCGCTTGAACCCGGGAGGCGGATGTTGCAGTGAGCCGAGATCATCCCACTGCACTCCAGCCTGGGTGACTCCGTCTCAAAAAAAAATAATTGCCAGGCTTGGTGGTGGGCACCTGTAATCTTGCTACTCGGGAGGCTGAGGCAGGAGAATCACATGAACCCGGGAGGCGGAGGTTGCGGTGAGCCGAGACACCACTACACTCCAGCTTGGGCGACAGAGTGAGACTCTGTCTCAAAAAAAAAAAAAAAAAGAGAAGAAGAAGAAATATTCATAACCATATGGCAGCAAGGAGCTTATTTCCTTCACTTACAAAGTTCACACACATCATACAGAAAAGGCAATCATTTAGCAGTTCACAGAAAAGGAACACAAAGGACCAACAAACTCGTAAAAAGACACTGAATTTCCCACTCAATTCAACAGATACAACTCCAGCTGTACAGTTAACTACTGTACCTATCAGGTGGTCAGAAATGAAAACCTCCAAGACACCAGCAAGGAGAAAGCGCGGTGGCAGAAAGAAAACTGCTGCAACCTTTCCGGAGGGAAATCTGACAAAACCTGTCGAAACTTTAATAGTTCACATACTTTGACCCAGCAATCTCACCATGACTAGGAATTTGCCTCACTATGTGCAGAGGTTCACCAACACGTATATACGTATATATATAAAAACACTCGCTGCAATATCACATAAACTGCAGAAGCACGCCAACATGCCCCACGATGGAGGACTGCGGAGCGGGCACCTCCACACAGGACAGATCACCAGGCAGGCAAGGTGGAGCTGCATGTGCTGCAGGCTGCCTCCTGGGAGGAATCCTGAAACCTGTGAAGGATGTGTCTCTAGAAACACAACGTGGCGATTCTGTGTGTGTCACACAACAAAGACAGTGACTGGTCCCATTACCCCTTCCTGTACTGTTTAAATTAGTTAACAATTTGCATGTTTGTTTGTTTGTTTGTTTTGAGATGGAGTTTCGCTGCAATGCCCAGGCTGGAATGCAGTGGTGCAATCTCAGCTCACTGCAACCTCCGCCCTCCAGGTTCAAGCAATTTTCCTGTCTCAGCCTCCCTGAGTAGCTGGGACTACAGGCGCATGCCAACAAGCCCAGTTAATTTTTATATTTTTAATAAAGGCGAGGTTTCAGCATATTGGTCAGGCTGGTCTCAAACTCCTGACCTCAGGTGATCCACCTCCCTTGGCCTCCCAAAGTGCTGGGACTACAGGCATGAGCCACCACACCCAGCCCATTTCATTTTTTGAAATCATTAGTTATTATCTGGAAGCTGAGACTATGGGCCATTTTTGTTTTCTGCTTTAGCTTTTTTAGGTATTTCTTTAAGGCGCTAAGGTTTGTAAGGTGAGCAGAAGCCCAAATGGGCACCTCAGAAGAACAAATGTCTCTCATGTAGCTCCTTCCCCATATCTAAGCATGGCTGAATTCTCACCTTCCTCCAAACCTTTAAAAAGAGCTCCACAAGCCTCAGTAACCCCATACCTCAGCATCTCCAAAATCATGCACGCTGAGGCTTCTCGCTCTCTTTGCAGTTTTCTTCAATTCATCCTTTCTGTCCTTACCAAGAAAGGAAATGTTTTTCATTTTTCCCCTTTCTCTACTGCATTTAGGTTCTCATACAATCCCCAGCAAACAAAAGCCAGTCTCCCTGTCTCCCAGATGACGTGAACAGGGAAGCACACCGCTGCTCACTGTGCGGGCAACCACCTTCTGACCATGAGGAACCAGCTGGGGTAGCCGACCCAGAGACAGCAGAGCTCATGCTGCTGAGCCACTGACTTCACCAACCCCCAAAACCCACCTTACCCAAGACTTTCCACTAAGCAGAATGATGGGTTTATCACTTAAGATGTTTTAATTTGGTTTCCTGCAACTTACAGCCTACAACATCCCAAAACAATCATTTTACTTCCAAAAGGGTTTGAGGCGGAGAACTACCAGCATCATATTTTCATTAAACAAATATTCTTAGAGCACCTAACATGTGTCCAGTCTTGTCTTAGACACTAAGGATACAGCAGTGACAAGGCCAAAATGCTACTCTCATGTAGCTTAATACAGCAGAAGAAACAGGCGAAACAAAAAGGAAAGAATGTTGTAGACAGCATCACATCTGTGCAGTGGTGTTATTAACCCAGAATACAAAAAAAAGAGAGGGCAAAGTATGTACGCATTCACGTCAAATCCTAGATATTTATATTCATACTACAGCTTCCTGCATCCATAATGTGAATTCTCAGTATATTTCATATGAAAAAAAATAAATGGGAACAGGCTAAAAATTACTAGAAAACGTACTGATAACTACCTAGTCACAACAAATACAAAACCTGACTGAAACGCAGCCATACAACTTCACTGGTGGTTATGGGACACAGTGAATATAAAAATGTGGAGTAACAGAAAGGAGTCTCCTCAATGTCTGTGGTGAATCTCTTTACATTTTTAATTGGTTTTTTTGTTTGTTTCTTTGTCTGCGCTGTCACCCAGGCTGGAGTGCGATGATCTCAGCTCGCTGCAGCCTACACCTCCCAGGTTCAAGCTATTCTCCTGCCTCAGCCTCCCGAGTAGCTAGAATTTCAGGCGTGTGCCATCAAACCCAGCTAATTTTTGTATTTTAAGTAGAGACAGGATTTTGCCATGTTGGCCAGGCAGTCCACCCGCCTCAGCCTCTCAAAATGCTGGGATTACAGGTGTAAGCCACCATGGCCAGCCTTCTAATGGTTCTTGATATTAATTTGGCTACATCTGCTATCTTTTTCTTTTTCTTTTTTTTTTGCACAGAGTTTACCTCTGTCACCCAGACTGGAGTGCAATGGCACTATCTAGGCTCACTGCAACCTCCGCCACCGAGGTTCAAGTGATTCTCGTGCCTCAGCCTCCCAAGTAGCTGCAATTACAGGTGTCACCACAGCCAGCTAATTTTTGCAATTTTAGTGGAGAGAGGCTTTCACCATGTTGGCCAGGATGGTCTCAAACTCCTGACCTCAAGTGATCCGCCTGCTCTGACCTCTCAAACTGCTGGGATTACAAGCGTGAGCCACTGCACCCAGCCTCCTATCATTCTTAAAGGTTAAAATGTCAGACTAGTATAACACTGAGATTAAGAATGGCTTCATTTATTCAAAGGCCTTTAAGAATCTGAGCCCAACAATCCTACATGCCGTAAGATTAACACTACCACCATTAGCACCTATGAGGATAAAGAGGTTTTTTTGTTTTTGTTTTTGAGACAGAGTCTCAGTCATCCAGGCTGGAGTGCAGTGGCATGATCTCGGCTCACTACAACCTCCGCCTCCCGGGTTCAAGCAATTCTCCTGCCTCAGTTTCCCAAGTAGCTGGGATTACAAGCACATACCACCACACCCAGCTAATTTTTGTATTTTTAGTAGAGACCGGGTTTCGCCATGTTGACCAGGCTGGTCTCGAACTCCTGATCTCAGGTGATCTGCCCACCTTGGCCTCCTGAAGTGCTAGGATTACAGGCGTGAGCCACTGTGCCCGGCCGATAAAGAGTTAAAAGAGAGCTTTAAGTAAAACCTTAAGGATCCAGAGATTTCCTGGTATCTCTGAGTATTTGGTAGTAATTGTGTGGGTCAACATCTGATTTGCCAGATTATATGGTTTGGCTCTGTGTCCCCACCCAAAATCTCATGTTGAATCGTAATCCCCAGTGTTGGCAGAGGGGCCTGGTGGGAGGTGACTGGATCATGGGGGCAGCTATCCCTGTTGCTAGTCTTGTGATAGATTTCTCAGGAGATCTAGTTATTTATAAGTGTGTTCACTCTCTCCTACTGCCACATGAAAACACACCTGCTTCCCCTTCGCCTTCTGCCATGATTGTAAGTTTTCTGAGGACTCCACAGCAATGCCTCCTGTACAGTCTGCAGAACTCTGAGTCGATTAAACCTCTTTTCTTCATAAATTACCCAGTCTCAGGTAGTTCTTTAAAGGAGTGTGAGAATAGACTAATACAAGAATGTTGTGCATATGTTTTCTTTGGTGTTTCCTTGAGGTAAGCCTGGGTTTCTCTTACTTTTCAGGCAGTTGAGTCTCAAGGGATGGCAACAAGGAGAAACTGAACGGCAGACTTGGGAATCAATTCAGGCCACTTGAGTAAG